TGTTTTCTGGGGATGAGTGTTAACTGGAAGCAGAGAAAATAATGGCAGAAAAGGCAGAGTAAACCAAAACTGAAATGGCACACTCAGTTCTTTTTTTGGGTTTCACTGACAAATGAGTTTCTGGAGTAATTAACAGAACAATGGAAGTTTCTTATTGTTCTGCCAGAACTTTGTTGTGCAAAACACTCAAGAAATCTCAGCAGGTTCTGATTTTCTCCTTCATGCAACTCTGTTTTCTCCCTGTACTTGCCCAAAGGGGAGAACAGGCACTTCCCATGGAACCACAGAATGGGTTGGGTGCAAGGGACCCCAAAGCTCCTCTCATTCCACCCCTCCTTCCACCAGCCCAGGTTGCTCAGAGCTCCATCCAAACCGGCCTTGAACACTTAAGCACATGATATTCATTTGTAAAGTTTACATTTTAAGTACATAAATCCTATACATTTTAATTTGTCCTTAATTATTACTTGTGCAGTCTTCAAACCATGAATGGGTCTCGTCTTTGTGTTTTAATTGACATTTAATTATGTGGCCATAACATAAAGAACCAGAGCCAAACCTGTCATTTACAGTAAGCTCCATGTTTTAATGAGTAGATAAATTTGCATTAAAATGCAGAACCAGCAGCAGTATTATATTTGCATGTAAAAGACACAGGATTCACAGCTCACTGGAAGGTGAGGGCAGCTGGCAGTACTGCTGTGAACTCTACACAGGTTCTTTTTGCTTGGCCTGGCCTTTAATATCAAAACATCACAGGTAATTCTGTCTCCCAGGACTGGAAATCTCATTTTTGACAGTAAATGATCAGCATGAGTTGGCAAAGTGTTCATGGAGGGTATCTGTCAGAATTTGTAGCAATGTAACAGATTAAAGTCAGCTGGGTGAGTGGAAGTGGTAAAGAAAGTGCCTTGGCTGGCTCCAACACCATTGTGCAGAGAAGGAGAAAAGGGAATTCACTGGTCCCTCTCAGGAGTGGGAGTTTGCAGCAGATTTCTAAAAGCAGCTACTGTCTACCAAATCAGTGTTTATTTCTTCACATCAACATGTTGACACTAATTTTGTTCCTAGATTTTATCCAGGAAATCTTTGGGTTTGTATCTAGGAAGTTTAGGATCTGGAGAGTACTGAAGGAGTGCAGAACTCTGGCAGAGCATCAAAGCTGCTCCTCAGTGATTCCCCACCTGGCCAAAGGTGTTTTCCCAGAGGTGGAACACACAAGTGTTCAAACATGCACACCCAAGGCTAGGTAGTGTGGGTTAGGTTGTAAATGGATGACTTTTAAACAGAGAAAAAACAATTTATTAAATCTGGTGTGGTTTTGATAAATACAAAAAAAAAGTTCCTATGCTCTTCTTGATAGGTACAAAACTCCATATGCAAAACCATAAATGATGTTTATTATTGTCCCACTGACAGTTTACTACATTTTCTTGTCAACACACTACCATTGGAGCAATAAAAATGTCAAGCTATTAACATTCACCATCAATTATTTATCACTTTAGTAAGCAATGTTATGTGATTCTTCTGCCATTCTTTTGTTTTCTGCTTTTGGTGTTCTTACAGTGTTGTAACATACTTGTATTGCTTCTGAAAAGTGGTTTTGTTTAAGCTGTATGAAACTGTGTTCTTAACACTTTTATTCTGTTTACAAGTGAACAGCCACTTTTTTAACAGGACCTCACGTCTGGAGAGTTTTCTCTCTATTTTTTATTTTAAATGAAAATAAAATTCTAACTGAGCTTGCTTTCTGTAATTTACTGCACTGGCTTGTGCCATTGAAAGAAGCTGGAAGTCAGACATGCTTCATCACTTTGAGACATTTTTCTTTAATTAAATTCAAAGATGAAAACCTTGAGTAGTGCAATGTGTTTATGGAAAAAAAACCCTGAAATTTTCTGTGTCTTTCCCTGTAGAGGTGTTTTAGTGGGATGGCAGCAGTGCTGGGCTGTGTGTAAATGAGACACACCTGACACAGCCAGGCCAGGGCTCATTCAAACAAGGCTTGGAAAGCACAGGAGGGATTTCCAAAGATAAGAACTGCAAAATGATCATCAATCTGATATTCCTGGTGCTCCACCTTCCTGCCAGGACAGTGGTGGAGTCCCCATCCCTGCAAGTGTTGGAAAATGTGGATGTGGCCCTGGAGGATGTGGTTTAGTGGTGATCAGGGTGTTGCACTTGGTGATCTCCAAAGTCTTTGCCAGCCTTAACAATTCCATTATTTTTTGGTGGGCTCACAGACCCTCCCTGGTCAGGGAGAAAGGAATCTGTCCCTGCAGAGGTTTTCTGACCCAGCCTGAGCAGGGATTCTGTGAGGGTGAACAAACCCTGGCTCCCAGAGGGGTTTGTGCCCAGCACAGCAGCCCTTTGTGTGTGTGTGTGTGTGTGTGTGTGTGAGAGCAGCCTGCCTTTGGAGCTGTGACAGCAGCACTGCAAACCAAAGCCTTTGGCTCATCCCTGAGGGGAAAGCACACATTGCATTCCTGAAAGGGGCACGTGCAGTGTTTTGTGTTGGAAGTGGTTCTGGGCAAAGCCAGGGCTGCTGAGCATGGAGCTGATCCTGGATGCTGGCTGGGAAAGCTGGGAATGTTTCTGGGGTGTTCAGCCAAAGGGAGGATGAGGGGCTGAGTCAGGAGTTCATCCCTGGGGGCTTTAGGAGATGTCATTGCCCAGACTGAGCCCAAAGGCCTGTGCTGAGGATATTTGGGATTTGGCCCCAGTCTCAGACCTGTTGGTGGAGCAGCTTGCTGTGCTGTCTGTGCCTGTGTATTTATAATGCTGTGTCTGTCATCACTTCAACTGTTCTAGCTGAGTTTATTTTTTTAGTGAAGCTTGGAGAGACTTCAACCCTTCATTTCTTAGACCAAATTAAATGTTAGCCTCCTCTCAAAAGCAGAGTTCTGTTTCTGTTCATCCTGTTTGCATTTATTTGAATTTTCCTTGAATAGGAGTGACCAGGAACAATATTCCAGTAAGTGGCTCATGGCCAAGAAGGCACCAGGTATTTATTTCAGTGTTGATAGTTCCCTCTCTTGTGTGAAAAGAATGTGATCCATTAAATTTAAAGGGTCACATTTGTCTCCTTAGTGGCTGTATTGCATTTCTGATCCATAGCTGTTCTGTGATAAATCTGGGGCTATTTCTCTTCAGCCACTTGTAGTTTATACAAGTTCCCTGCAGACACTCATCAGTCCAGACTCAGCATCTGACACTTTGTACTGGTGAATCTCTCAATATTTCCATTACTGTGTCCTCCCAGTCCTCCAATTCTCCTTGCATTTGTGCTCCCAGTCTTCCTGTGAGAAGTGTTTGTCACAGGCTGATTCAGTCTGCAAAATTAACACAAATGAGTTTACTAAAAAGATTAGTTCCCAGATAGATGCCTGAATTTTGCTTATGATTTTCTAAATGCCCTTTTACTTACTTAGTCCCTGACCTGCTTTAAATATTTCTGTTGTTTCTACATCTGACTGAATCAGTAATTTCCTTGTTGTGGTTTATCTGGGAGATGGAATCTACCTGGACTTGGTTGATTTACATCTGGTTATTTTATAAACATGCAAACAGCAGATCTGGGTCTGGGCTAACCTGCTGAATTCTACATTTTCCCTAATCACTGAATGTGTTTAGGTAATGATCCTTTCAATATGTTCACATTTTACTTCACATTCTTTATGTAAACCTCATGATCTATAGGAACCTTTCTTGAGCAGTAAATTCAAATTTCTGCAGGAACTAGGTTTGTATTTTTGTATTCAGTGATAAATATAACCTGAGATTTTGGCTAGAAAAGAAACACTTCTTCACAACAGCGCTGGTCCCATGGGATAGGTAATAAAATTGGAAAGAGGAATTACAGTAGCTCTCAGACTAATAAGAATTTAAAATTAAAAGGCAAATATTAATCAAAAGGTGATGACTGATGTGTATTTACTGTAAATTATATGGTGTGCAAGCCTGGAGGGGTAATTGAAAGCTACATTCTACAGTGATCTCCTTGGACATTTTTGACTGTGAAGTGTCTGAACAGAGGAGCAAAAGGAATTCTGGGTTTTGCTGTAAATGGAAAAGAGTGGAAAATGGAAAGGCACTGCTGAGGCCTGGTGGTGAGCAGCACTTTCCCACCTCTGCAGGGTTAACCTGAGTCCATCAGTACAACCAGGGGTCTCACTGGTACAACCAGGGGTCTCACTGGTATAACCAGGGGTCTCACTGGTACAACCAGGGGTCTCACTGGTATAACCAGGGGTCTCACTGGTATAACCAGGGGTCTCATCACCTCCCAGTGATTTTTGGATGTCCAGTTCCAGTTCCCACGGTGAGTATTCACTCAGCATTCCCAGTGTAGGGTCCAACAGGGCACAAGGAGCAGGAATGCACCTCAGCCCCACCGGAACCCCAGGGGAACACTTCAATCCGGGATTTTTCTGGAACTGTTTAGTGTATGGAAAAGGTAACTTGCTTCAGGATTCTCTATGGTTTTTGTGAGAATTAGTACTGAAAATCAGCTTGCTCCGAGTTTCCCTGTGATGCTGATGGAGGTAAGGGCTCCGGGAGAGGAGAGGGTGATGCTCAGACAGGAGCTCCCCGGTGGAACTGCAGAAAAAGCCTCAGGCGCTGCATCTCCAGGCCCTGAAGTTCAGCGTTCACCGAGGAGCAGCACAGCTGGACCTGGGAGCCGCAAACCGCACCCAGACAGACCCGAGTGTATCCGCAGCCGCTCGGGAGCAGCGCTGCGCGGACAGCCCTGAGTGACACGGCGCGGCGTTCTGTGCTTCCCGCGCCTCCTCGGCAATCCTGCGGGACTCCTCACGTCCTTCCCGGGCAGCTCCGAGCGGCAGGTGCCACAGCAGCCGTTCGGGCTCTGCGTTCCTTTCCGCGCCGCCTCAGCGCGGCGGGACCCGCGGCGAGGGCCGAGAGCCCCAATCCCCTCAGCGGAGCGCTCCGCGGGCAGGGCCGCGCTCTCCCACCGCGCATGCGCGCGCAGGGTTGGCGGGGCGGGCTTGGCGGGCGAGCGGCGCCGGGGCCCGGCGGGGCTCTGAGGGCGGCGGTAGGGCCCGGCGGGGCCGGCAGTGCGGCTCCGTGCGGCCGGCGGCACTAGGGCCCTGCGGGGCGCTCGGGCGGCTCTAGGGCCCGGCGGAGCACCGCGGGCGGCTCTAGGGCCCGGCAGCGCGGGGCGGGCGGCTCAGGGGCCCTGCGCGCCCACGCCGGGGGTCTCGCCTCCCTCCCGCCATAGAAGGAGCAATGGCGGCGCCGTAGCGCGGCCGCCGAACCCCCGCCCGAGCGCCGCGCCCGGGCCCGGCGGGAGCCGAGCGGGGCCGCCGCTCCTCCTCCTCCTCCTCCCGCCGCCGCTCCCCGCAGCCCCGCGGCCGCCATGGCCACCGAGCTGGAGCCGCCGGCCGCCAGCGCCGTGTCGGGCGCGGCGCCGCTGGAGGCGGAGGAGGACGAGGAGCACTGGCTGTACGGGGGTAGGTACCGCGGGCAGCGCGGGGCCCGGCCGGCAGCGGGCCCGGCCCCGCCTCAGGGCCGCCCCCGGCTGCGGGGCCGTGCGGGACCGGGGGCGGCCCCGCGGGAAGGAGGGAGGGAGGGAGGGATGAGCATCTCTCCCTGGGCCCCCTCACACGGACCGGCCCCTGCCCCCGGGCCCGGAGAGGGACCCGCGTCCGCCCCCGGCCTCCCCTCAGCGGCTCTTGTGGGCGGCTGGCGGTGTGTTATTGTCCTTTTATCAATAACGCTGGTGCAGGGAGGTTAACGAGATGCTTTGTTAAGAGTTTGAGTTCGCTAATCACCCAAACCTTGTGAGCCCCTGGGCTAACGGGGCTGGGATGTGGCCGGTATAAACCACAGGACTTTATTGAAACGTCTTTGTCCTCCCCATAGGCTTTGCACATGAATGCGTTTATGTTTCTTCTTCCCCGGCACGTTACAATTCTATATAAAGACCTTGATAGGTGACTTCAGTTCCTCTCTGGTAGTTGTCTCTGTTCTCTGAGAATTAGGATATACATTTTAAATTTAGTTTGGTGTGAGACATCACCTCTGCAGATGGATGGTGTTTGTTGGGTTGGGTTGATTTTTAGTTGTTCCATTTCTGGTTGAACTTTGTTGAAAAGAGAGTGTTGGGGTTACAGTGCCTTGGCACTGCTGGGTATTTCTGTACCTGTGATGCCTTTTGTGCTTCAGTTTAGCTTTTTTCCTTTCACTTGAATAATTCCTTTGTTCTTACTGTTGTTTTTGCAGATGACACCACTGGTAAGCAAGAAGATGGACCAATTTCTGGGTGAGTCCTGAGGCTGTTTATTCTCTATAACAATCCATGGTGTAAAGATTGAGCCTTGTTGAGCAGAGCTTGGTGAGGGCTTTGGAGCAGTGCTGTTGCCAGGAACAGCAGCCTGTCCTTTCCCCATCCCATGGGATCATCCCCAGCTGCCCCCATGGGGGTGACAGGCATTTATGGATGTGGAAGCTGAACTGGATGAGTGGACTGGTTTGATTCTCTCAGCAATTAGTTTCAAACCAGATCTCTTTTCCAGTTTAATTGCATGGGAAGAATAATGCCCTGAGGACTGGCTTTGTGCTAGCCTGGTGTTTTTAAAACTGGCCTGTGCTTTAGTCTGGGAATGGTCAAAACTTTGAGCTTGGGTTAAAATCTTGAGCTGCTCAAACCAGCACATTCTGGGAGATCTGTCAAGTGGTGTGGGTAAGACTTGGAGATAAAACCAATCCTCAGTTTGGCTTTCTGTGTCTGTCCTGGGTTGTGTTCTCTCCCCATTTGTAGCTCTGTGTTTTGCACCAGCAGAGCTTGGTCTCAGCAGTTTTACCTGTTTGCCATTTTAAATGTAACATTTTTCAGAAGGTTTGGTTTTCACTGGGTTTGTCTGTGTTCAGCCCCTTCCAAAGTTCAGTTTGGGGTTTGTTGTCATTGTAGGTTCAGTGTCTGGAATGCTGAGGTTGTTACAGATACTGTCCTACTTCTGTGCTTAAGGAATATGAAAGCTTGTTCAAATAAACAAGTGGTGAAAGACATGGTAAATTGTTACCTAAAAACATCAAATGAGTTTTGTGAGGAGGAACAACTTTTAGACAGAAATGTCCAGCTGCTTTACATAAATCAGCTGTTCCTTGTCACATTCATCTGAATGTAATTTTATTTTACAAGTAGGACTAAAAATCTGAATTTCTAGCAACTGTCCCCAATAACTGCAAGTTGTAGGGAGAAGGAATATTAGTGGCCATGCTGGCTGTCCTTTTTTTTTCCCTCTCTTTTTACTTTTTTTCCCCATGTTTCTTCATTGCACAATGAGAATCTACCTAAAAGAGGAGCTGTGGGGTGTTTTAAGAAAAATGACTCTTTGTTAGCCCTGCTGTCAGCAGCTGCAGCTCCAGGGATGCTCTGCTGGCTTGTCTGGAGTGTTTGTCCCAGCCAGAGAGCAGAAATCTGCAGAGTTTGGGGTGCAACATCAGTGACATTCCCCAGCCTCAGGGATGTGGCAGAGGCCAGCAGGATGCTGTGCTGCCAGCAGTGCCCAGCATTCTGTTGGCATTCTGGCCAGGTGAAATCTCTGCCACGTTTTTCTGTGCCCAGCCAATGCTGGGGACTTGTCAGCTGCTTCATTGCTGGGAAGCAGAGAGGTTAGGAAAGGCTCCTGGTTCCCAGGTGTCACTCTGAACTCCAGTTCATACATTTTAATGCACACCCACAGATGCTTCATGTGACTTGAAGCTGAAGGTAACACCTGTCACTCCTCCTGAACACAGAATCTCAGAGTTTTAAGGAGATTCAGGCTGGAGGTCAATGCTGAGTTCCTTGGATTGGGCAAAAAGTTTTTGAATCCATCAGAGAGATTTTCTCCAGTCCCTGCTTTGGTCCTCATGTCCCAGCCTGTGTCTGCAGCATGGAAATACCTGGGGGCTGATTTTCCCTCTGACATCCTGGCTGCCTTCTGGAGCTGCCAGTGTGTGCAGGTGTCACATCAGGAACTTGGCACCCCTGGCACCTGTGCTTGGTCAGCTGCCCAACCTTCAGCCCTCTCTTTGATACCTGATGAATTTCTTTGGGTATGGGATTTCCCCACAGGGGGCTTCAGTTATGCTCAGAGTGTTTGTTCTTTGTTTTACACTCAGTAACAGCTGAGTTGTGTTATTTTGCCTTTCTTGGGTGGTGTCTGGTGTCACTGAAGTGGCTTTGATGTGACCAGTGTTTGGATTCTGTGAGATGTTGCCTGTTCATTTTTGAAAACAATCCTGTGGATGTTTGTTGTCCAGTGTGGGATTTTAAATTAATAGCAACAACTCCACAAAGCACTGGTGGAGAATTGGATTTGACTTGGGCTGTTCTGATTGTCTCACTTGAAAAAACTCAGAATTATTTTGAAGTTCTGCTGAGCTTTACCTGTGTCATTGGAGACAGATGAGCTCTCTGTGTTTCAGTTCTGTAACTCATGGCACACTCTTTTCTAGTATGTGTACATCAATTCCACTTTCTTGCTTGGCCAGTGCCATAAACAATGTTAACATTTGTACAAACTCCTAAACTGGAGTTAAATCCAAACCTTACCATTGTTTCATCAGGTCTAATTTGTAATGAGTGAGAAGAACAGGTGCATAATATTTCCCATAACTTTTCCTTTTGGAATTTTAACTACTTACTGTAAACTATTTGTGGAAACACTAAAATCATTCTTCCTTTAATTTCTCTGGGACAGATGCCTTTGCTGCTGACTAAATGCATGTGTAATTATTAGCATCCTTAAGGAGGAGGTGTAACTTTGCTTATTATGGTCTTATTCTTATCAGTTGTTTTGCCAAATCCGAGCTGAGCCAGCTGCCACTGAGCTGTTGAGTGCTGTCAGGTGCTCTCTGGATGTGTGAAACTGATTCTTCCCAGCAAAAGCAAAGCCAAGCCAGGAGGATGGATTTATTTTTTTTTGTCAGGTAGTTGAGCAAATGCCAGCAGAACAAACCCACAAGAAGAATAAAGCACTGTGTGAAAGTCACCTGGGCAAAGGCTTTAGAATTCATTGTAGTGACTCTGTGGGCTGTGCTTGTTCACTTTCTCTTGTGTGTCACAGTCACTGTGTTTCCTGTGTCCCCTGTGCAGGCACCCAGAGTCTGCTCACCCTCTGCAGGACGCTCCCCAGGAGAGCCGGCCCGTCACCAGCGAGGACAGAGACATGGCCCAGCACGTAGGTGTCCCTGTGCCTGGGGATGGCTGTGCTTCCCAGCACTGCTGGGCACAAGCAGGGAGTGCAGAGATCCCTGCTGGCTGCAGTGCTGGGTGTGCTGCCAGCCATGCCCAAAGCCAGGCCCAGAAGCAGCCTTGTCTTGTCATCCAGTGGTGGGGAGGGAACCCTGGTGCAGGCTCTGCCCAAACCCTCTCAGGAGGCAGATCAGGCTCTGGTAGGAAAAGCAGAACATGATGTCTTCCAGCTCAGTATTCAGTGTGACTTCTAAAGGACCTGTAAAATATGGGAAACACTGGGATAGAAAGCCCAAGATGCTGAGAATCAGTTTTGGTTCAGGCTTAGGCCTCTGAGAGCACAATCTGGTGGCTCAGTGCTGAAAGAGGAGGAGGAGGGTTGCTTCTCCCCACCCTCCTCTCCTGGACTCTTTGATGGGTTTGTTTTCTGCCACATCAAGAGGGTTCATGCAGGGTTCTGACAGACCCACGTGCTGTGGAAAAGGAGGGAGGGTGAGGGATGCCTTCCTCGTGTGGGGTGAGGTGTTAATTCACCTTGTGCTTCTCACAAAACTGCACTTGCTGGATATCTGTGAAAAAAAAATTTCTTTTTCTATTCTATTACGTTTGTGTCAGCACTGGGGTTGCACTGGAGTCAAATCTGTGAGATGAAGTGTCTTGGGGTCTGATTGTGCTTAATCAGCCAAACCAAACTCCTCAGCAGCTCCCTACCACAGAAGTTGTGGTGAGAGAATATTTACCTTGAGGTTCTTAGGTGAAACCTGGTGAATGTCTTTTGGTGGTTTTCATTTGTGGTTGTGTACTTTGACCATGACCCTTGTGAAGGAGGTGTGTCAGAAAAGCCCCAACTCTCAAAAAGAACTGAGGGACGTGGTGAAATTCTTAGAACTGAGCTAAACTTTCCTCAGCTTCACAAATATTACCCCAAATTTCATGTAGGGCCAAATCTTCAAAGCACAGGGGAGTTTCTCTGTGGGAGCTGCCTTTTGTTGTTGAAGGCTATTCAGGAAACTTCCTGAGATTTGGCTGTGCTGGAGAATTCTCCAGTTGTGTGTATTGATGAGGTGCTGTGTGGCTGTGCTGCTGCAGGCCCTCCCCAGCGGTGAGGATGATGAGGATGACAGTGACAGTGACAGCGATGACGATGATGTGAAGGTCACAATCGGCAACATCAAAACGGGAGCGCCGTCCTACATGTGGGTACTGCTGGGGATGGGCTGTGGGGTTGGCATCCAGCATGGGCATGGGGAGGGATGGGCTGAGAGCTGCCCTGGCTGCTGGCACCAGTGGCCACAACACCACCAAGGGCTCAGGAGCTGAGGGGCAGCTCTGCCCTGCAATTGCTTGTTGGAGAATCCATCTGTAAAATGGGGATGATAATCCATGGGGCTGCTGCTGGGAAATTAACTTACTAATTCCTGGGCTCCCTGGGGCAAAATCAAAGGTGGGAAGTTCTGTTTAACTCATCTGTGAAAACTTCCAGAACCAAATCTGTACTGCTAAAAATTTGCATAAACTGTGAATTTACTCATTTCCAGCTGTCTGATTTTTTTATGGCTCAGAAATGGCAAGTCTGGATTTGAGAAGCAGGAAATTATACTTTCTACAACTCTGCCTAATGTGCATTGAATAAAAATAATGAGAGAGCATTTTGCTTGCTGCTAGCAGCCTTCCTCTTACACAAATGACTTACCTGTGCTTTGCTGCATATTCTAATTTTTCCACTTTATGGATAATTTCCTTCTCTTGTTGTAGAGGTGGTTTCACTCTGATGGATGACTCTGAATAGCAAACCCAGGTGAACTAAAGCATCTCCTGAAGGGTGTCAGGGCTTGAATATATTTTGCATGAGAATCTTTAGCCAAGTAATTTGTTCAAATGCCAATGTAGTGATTCTTTTCCAATAGGGGAACTCCTATGAATCTAAACTTAAAAACGGGTAGAGGCTATGGAGCATCAGCTTCAGGTACTGCTGTTATTTTTATCCTTCACTTTTCCAGTATTTCACCTACCTGGCACTGACAGCTGCAGCAGCTGCAAATTTTGCTCTGTTTAAAAGAATATAGAATTAGTGTAAACCAGCAATAGGAAGTGCATTTCCTAAATATCAGTGCTCCCAGCATAGTGTGAGGGGACAGGAGGCAATGGAGTGATTTAATTACCCATCACTGAGCAAGGTGACTATAATTCTAATTAAATTAGGAAAAAATGTATTGATTGATAGTTTTATAGTAAAACCCCAGAATATTTCTAAAATATATTGTTGCACTGGGGCTGAGCATTGCAGCTCTAGAGAAGGACTGGAACTCAGTGTCTTGAGTTACTTGCAGTGTGAGATGCTACAAGAAACAAACTCTGACCTTGAGTAACAGCTGTGCTTATTTGAAATTTTCCACACCAGTTTAGTTTAGTTTCCACAACCAATTCAGTTTATTTTCTACTGTAAATTGAGTCTGGGATTCTGTCCTTCCACGTGTGTGAGACTGTCCTGTCATGGGCTTCATCTGCTCCTTTCCACTAATTGCTTTATCCAAATGAATTCTCTTCTGATTGAGAAAATAAGAACAAATTCCCCTTGTAGGTTTTGTACCTGAAAGATTTTTGCAAACTCCTGTTAGTCTGCTAAAGAGTGATCCTGAGAAAGTCTCTTGTTATGAGAAAATGTGTCTGTCTTGGGAGGGGAAAATAGGTACTTTGCCTGGGGAGAAAAAGAATCTCATTTTATTTTCATTTGGGGTAAATTTCATGCATGTCCTAATGATTTACTCTGTCTGTGGTACCAATCTGGGTTGAATTTGCTTCTCTGCTGTTCAGCTGCAGGTGCTGCACACCCTGTTTGTTTATGGAGTGACTGGAGTCCTTTTTATTAAAAAGCTGATTGTGGTTACCTGCGTGCTGTAAACCCGGTGATTAATTCACTGCAGTGCTTTGTTTTTGCTGCAATGATTTGCTGAGCAAATGAGTGGATTAAAGGCATTGCAATAAAAGTTGTAACAGTCCCTCTCTCCCCAAAGCCAAGTTGCAGCCCAAAGGTATTGACTTGGATGCCGCAGGGAATATAAATGGATTGCCTGTGATAGAAGTGGATTTGGATTCTTTTGAAGACAAACCGTGGAGGAAACCAGGTGAGGCCTCACAGTTCCTTGTGATAAATATTTTCTGCAGTTCTGCTTGTGTCTCTTGATTTCCACATGTAATTTCTGTCCATTTGTTGTTGCCAGGGAACAGGGAAGCTGGAACAACGTGTGTTGCTCAGTCTCTGCTGCCTGGCTAGACAGTCAATGGCATTTACTGATTGAACAAGCCATGGCTATGTTAAATTGGGCTGCATTTATTCTAGTAATTGAACTTCCCTAAAGGGAACAGCTATTTTTTTAAATGGTCTATTTTATTAATTCCCTGCTTCCTGAGAACATTGCACTGATACCAATCCAATAATGTTTGGCCTTAAAGGCAGCTGAGTGGGGTCAGATTGGGCTGTTGATATTTGTTTTCCTTTTCCTGTGCAGGAGCTTGCTCTGTGTCCCCAGGCCAAGCCCAGAGTTGTCCCTATGGTCCCTCCTCATTTGGGGCTGCCCACATTTATTTATATGAGGGAGATTTCTCCTCTTACAGCTGTAGGATTCTACAAATCAGCTGCTGTTTTTCTTCTGATACAGAAGTAATTGAAGGAACTAGACATCCAGATTTTTGCTGTGCTACTCTCATAAAATGTGCTCTGATGAAATGTCAACTGAAACAAAAAGTCCACTTCCCTTTTCTGAGCCATCATTATTCTCCCTGCCAGCCCCTGTATTTGATTTATCTTTCAGCAATATTGCTGTGCTGAGAGCTTTCCTGAGATTGCCTGTGCTGTGCCCTGGGTGCCCCCTGCCCACTCCAGTGCTGAAAGCTCCATGGGCATGGCCAGGTACCAAACCAGCACTGAAACACCCTGCAGATAGTGCAGGCAGAATGGAACTGAAGCTTTTCTTCTGCAGGGATTTCTCCTTGATTCGAAGTGAGACAGAGGGGAATGGGAAGAAAATGAGTTAGAAAGAATGCAGTGAAGTTCAAAGCTAAAGCGTGGACATGGTTGTGGCCATGCTGACATCCCTGGACCAGAGTAGAGCCAGCTGGCCCTAAAACAGTGTTGGAATGCAATAGAGGGAAGATTTCTGCAGAGCTGTGTGGTCTGTAAGTTTATTTTAGATAGCAAGTAGCTCATTACTCAACAGCCTTTCAAGTTTATATCCTTTACAGTTAATTGTTCAGCAGCTTGGTATGTCTTTGAGTGAGGGAGTGGAAGGAGAAATCCTGTGTGGAAGAACTGATAGAGGTCTGAACTAGAAGCTGATAAAATCCACAAGTCAATGTTGTGCTGCTGAGTCGGTGTGGGTGCAGTTTGCATGTTTGGGTGGTACAGCAGGAAGAGTGGCCAGCCCAGGAGATAAGCCTCACTGCTTAAACCTCACACTTAAACCAAGCTCAGCTTGGGCAGAGTTTTGCCTCACTCTTGTAGCAGCTCTTTGTTTTGGAGTTGCTCTGTGTAGGAATATCTTTATGTGGGGGATGTTTGAGGGACACCTGAGCAGGGCAGGAGGTGCTTTGTAGTGCTGGGAGGTGGGAGGGTGCTCCTGTAATCCCTGCAGCTGCCATTGCCCCCCTGCATCTCGGCTTTCTTGGCAAGCAGTTTGTGGTCACCTCTGTTATTCAGAAGTGCTGGTGCTGAATTAGCACATTGCACAGGAGGCTGGCAGTGGGAGATAACACTCTGGGGTGGCTAATTAGGGTTGTGACTGAGCTGTAATTACTTGTGTAGTCTGGGATGCTTTAATAAAAACCTTCCACTTTAGCTGCCTCTCACGAAATGGGTGAGCCCCAGAATCTCCTCTCAAAACAGCAAAGGCAGTGATGGTCAGGAGGGGAATGTGTGGGCTTAGTTCTGCCAGGAAAAAGGTTCTGTGGCTCCACCCCATTTTTGTGGTGGGAGCTGGAACTGTCACTCCTGTGCTGTGCCCAGCTCATGTGGACAATTGGAAGAAATGGTGAATAAGTGATTGCAGGGAG